TTATTTAAATATTATATAAGATAATAATTATTTAAATATTATATAAGATAATAATTAGAATCTAATAATCTTAATATCATTAAATTCTCTGAATTTTTGTGATTTTAATGATATTAAATTTATTAAAATTGGATGTAAATTGATCAAAATATTTAAAATTAAAGTTATTTATTTAAAATTATATAATAATATAATATCTAAAATTTGATTAGCTAAAATTAATAACATTATTGATGATATTATTGTGACTAATTGTAACATATATGTTGCAATTACTAACAAAAACTATAACTATTGAAACTTAAATAAATAATTGAGTTACTATTTTTATATTGTATTATAAGTAATAATAAAAATATAGATTTTAAATATAAATAAAATATAATATTTAAAAATAGAAATGTGATAATAAATATAAAAATAGGGATATTTATAAAATAAAAAGAAAATATAGTTTTGTATAATCAAGGAAAGATTAAGGAATTAAAAAATTTTATGTTACTATAGTAATAATATTATTTTTCTAATTTAATATTATGATGTAATAAATAGAAAATTTACTAAAAATTTATATCAAATATTTAAACAAAAAGAATTATATAATATAAATAATAAAAATAGAAATTCTAATATTTATTAATATATACTAATAATATTTTATTATAGATATAATACAAGATCTGATTATATAAAAAATATTAATATTATTTAAAATATTAATCGTTTTATATTAAATAATAAATATTTTTTTATTATAATAAAATTTTTATTTTAAAATAAGTTTATAAAATTAAAATAATTATATTTAGTAAGAATTTTATAAAAAAATAATTTAAAATAAAAAATTTATTATTTTTTATTAATTAGTTTATTATTAACTTTATTTATTTTAATATTAAGTATTTAAGAATTTATTAAGTTATAAGATTAATAATATAAATAAGATAATAAATATATTAATTAATAATATTAAATTAATATTTTTATTAATAAATATAGTTTAATAATATATAAAAATATTATATAACTTATATTATTTATTAATATATTAAGAATATTTATAAAATAAAATTTTATTATTTTTTTTAAATATTATAAAAATTAAAATAAAAAAAAAATAGTTTTATTTTTATTATTATATTAAATTTAATAATACTTTTTAGAAAATTTTTCTTAAAATTTTTACTAAAAAATAATTTTATAATTTTAACAAAATCTAAAAATAAACTTTTAATTTTTATTTATTATTTAATATATTATTATTTCCAAGAAAAATAATATTCAGATATTTATTATAAAAGAAATTTTATTAGAATATTCTATAAAAATTAAAAGAATAATTATTAAAGTTAAATATTTAAAAAAATTTGTAAAAATTAACTAATTTTCTTTTTATTATAATATATAATTTCATTTGTATAGAATTTGCTAAACTTTTTCACGTAAATTATAAATTATTTTTGAAAATTTCTAGATTTAGCACTTTTAAAAGAATACTTATCTATTTATTAATAATTTTTGAAAAGTTTTCTCATTAAATAATGACTAAAAACAATAAAATTTAAGATAAAATGAATAAAAAATTAATAAATAACATAACAAATTACTTTAAAAAAATTTATCATAATTCTTATTATATTTTAAAGAGATTTTCATTCTTATTATTTAAGTTGAATTTAGCTTTAAGATAATTAGATATATCAAAAGTATTATCTTTATTAACTGAAATAAAATTTTGCAATAATTGCGCTTTGATTTTTTTTTAATTTCATAAAATGGAAAGTGTTTCCAAATTCAACTACATTGTTTAATAAGATTCCTTTTCTTGATTATCACTATTAATATTCGTTATAAAAATTTGAATTATTATTAAAAATTGAAAAATAATAATTTAAAATTCAAACATGGTGAAATTTACAAATTTAGATTTAAAAATTCAATTTAAAAAGTAAATTATTTAAAAAATGATTAATCATTATTGTTATGGTTGATGATTCGGTATAAGCGAAACGATTCCCTAATCCGATGAATAACTACTTCCCATCGGAAAATTCTATTTTGATGATTTAAGATTTGGGTTTAGGATCAAGGTTAAGACTGGAGATTAGATTATATATAAATTGCCTTCCCGACATTTTTTATTAGTATATCGGACTAAATTTTGACATCTGTTCCTCATATTTTTTTGATTTTTCACTTCTGATATCGGATTTGTTTTGCCGGGTTGATGTTAAAACCAGATCGTTAGGGTCGGAAATGCCCGTTTTTCGTACCCTTTGATGATGATTGATCATTGTGATTTGGTAAACCCGTTACCGAATGCGGTTTACCGTTACCGATCGGTAATTATTCATTTAATTTTCTTTTGATATTAATATTTAGATTGTAAGAAATCAACGAGTTTATTTTGGATCTTTCATTTTAATTTCCTTTGATATTAATAATTTATTCATTTGTTTAGGGAGTAAGTAATCCACGATTTTATTTTACATCTTTTACTTCCTAAACAAATGATAAAATAATGAATTAGTTAAATAATTATTAATATCAAAGAAAATTATTATGAAAGATCCAAAATAAAATCGTTATTTCTTACAATCTAAATAAAAGATAGAATGATGGATTAAATAAATAATTAATATCAAAGAAAATTAAAATGAAAACTATTCGAAGATGTCGGTTCAAATAATTACCGAAAAATTCGGTTTACCGACGGTAATTACCGAACCGTTCGGATCCCTAAGTGCGTATATAGAGTCTACTGGATCTTATGCCTGAAACTTATGTAAAAATCATAAATAGTCAAAAGGAATTTGAACTCATAAGAATTTGGGGGAACAAAGCTTTACTATAAAATGACCGTATTTAACGTTAACCATTAAATTTTGATGCCTATAAGAAATATATACATGTACTTGTTCTATCGCTATACACGTCCATGTTTGTAATACCAATACCTTACATGTATGTTACATGTGTTTTTAGCAAACAATATTACATAATGATAGTTTGATTTACTATAAAGACTTTTTTGTCAAAATGTCTAGAAATATCCATATTAATCATAATAATTAATAAATACATGTACATGTACATGTACTAACACTCCAACGCCAATTTCTTTCAGTTAATGATCAGGATATGAAAGAGATAATTGACCACATACTTGATCAAAAACAAAAACGAACAGATCGATTACGTTGGCACGGATGGCTGTACCAACAATCCTTCCAGGCTACGAGATTGCCTTTACGATCATTGAGAAACTACCTATAAAATTTATTGATGAAAAAGAAAAACTTTACGAGCAATTTATGGAACGAAGAATTGACAGGGCTCTCTTAAAATCTGGCGTCAGCTCAATGAATCCAAATAAAGGCTATTGAATCTTCTGTCAAATGTATTATGAATATCAATTCTTCTCTAGATGATCGAAAAATTGAAGTACCGTCGGTATTCATGGCTTGCGAGGAGGTTCTAACGAATTTCCAGATCTCTATCCGCATCCGCTTGTTACAACCCCGTTCTTAATTGCATTCTCCAAGTTATATGCTACTGTAAGTACTTACGGAGCTGGACTCCACCCTGCGTACACAGAAAACCCTGAAAATGAAAAGAAACGAATAAGGGAAATGATTGAATCTTATAAAACGAACGCCGTTAAGTCGAGACTCGAAATGATCAAAGTTGTGTGGACGATAAACATATTTCATAAGATAGATATTGTCAAAGATGGCTTAGTAAACCTAATAAGAAGCATTTATGGAATCGGAAACATTGGCGTCGGGAGAATAATTCCGAGGATGATTATGATTACGCAATGCAGTACAAATTACGTACGAAAATTATTTTGATAAAGTCATCAATTCAATTTTTTAATTTACTATTTTTTAAAAGAAACTAATAAATAACTATATAAGATTTTTCATTTTTTTGTATCTTGAAAATAGTCGAACAATTTAGTGCATCATGTGATCACGTGATAAACTGATTTAAGAATTCATGCTAGCCAGAATTAAAATCGTAATTATTTTGCCGGCTACATGTATCTAATTCACAATATGGGTTTCTAACTATAAGAAAAATCTATTTCAAGAATATAAATTAATTTTAGAATATGTAAAATTACTAGTTCGGAATTTTATATTATATTTAACAGTCATTATACAAATATAAAATCGCCAGCTTGTGAGTCTTGCAAAACCTTATATGTACAATATCCTCAAAAAGTATCGCCTGATTTATAATACACATGTAAATCAGGCGATACTTATTGAGGATACATCTATATGATATGATTCAATATGGTTATTGTTTACATTAACAGGGTTGAAGATCGGTTGTTTATGTAAGGTAAAAGGGGTTTTTATAGCGAAAATCCGTTGTTTATGTAAGGTAAAAGGGGTTATTATAGCGAAGATAGGAGTTGTGACAAAGATGAATAGAATGAAGAAGTCAATGTCATATTTATGTCTTCCATTATGCAGTTTGTTAATGACATTTATGTGATACCTTTCGAGATAATGCAACTTCGTCACAATACCCAGCCTTCGCCAAAATATCCCTTTTATCTTATGTTAATTAGCAATAGTTCGAAAAGGATAATGAAGCATTAGATTATGTTTCAAAATTGACTCGGGAACGCGAAAATTTTTTTCTTTTAATGATCTATTACAAAAAGGGATCAACATTATGTATCATCCTCTACTCATGCATAAAAACATGATCGAGCCCCAAAATACTAAAATAATCGTTTTAGGCGAATTGTTAATAAAGTTGAAAAATCGTTCTTATTTCAGAATGTTCTTGTAGAAAAATGCTTATATGATTGTGATTTATAAGCTAATCTATATTTGTTTCTGTTGGTCCATTATATACTGCACCTAAAATATTTAAGGTTTGAAAATCACATTTTATGAATATGACCAGATTAAAATTTCTTTTGTATGTCTGTCATAATATAAATTTAAATATAATTACACGTAATGCATTAGAACGAACCAATCAAGTCTAATGACTTGTATTGATAATCACGAGTGATAGAAGCATAAATTTAATATTTATTATTTATTATAAAGGTTTATACATTACATTAACTTGTTGTGGTTTTTTTGATTTGATACGAAAATTGTTTATTTCCTATTTATCAATATTGATATATATCTATCAATCAATATAATCATTAAACAACTGATTTAATGGGTTTAAAAACATGGTTTTTTACAAAACACATAAAATAAATATTGTAGTTTCTAAATTTAATAAAAACAATAAGCACCACAAAAGAGTAACTTTATATTTTCAAAAAAAATTTTACGGCGTCTTTAATGCCTCCGTTAATTTATCCGTCCGATCATTTATCCCCGAATCGCTTTATACAAATCATTTTATATGGTATTCAATAGAAAACAAAGATCAACTGACCACTCCTTGTTGGGAATTTAGGGCGATTTACCACTAATATCTATGCTATACGAATTTTTTATCATTTTAAAGTTTATAAATAGAATTTTCTTTATTGTTAATCGTAAGATTCCGCACAGTAATCTTAACTTCTTAGTCTACATTTAAAAATATTTTGAGAATAGTATCCCGTAAACTAGTAAAGCTTTTAAAATCTGCACTGACGTTGTATATTCTATGAAAAAGATTTTACAAAAACCTCCGTATTGATGATGATGATGATGATCAGTCGTTGTGCTAAATTTTGATTGGTTAATTTTCTTGAAGAAATTGGTTAATAAAAAATTATTCTCAACGTTAAATGTTTTTCTTCTTGAACATTATCATATTATCAATGGAATAGTACCCTGATTTTTTTTTGTAATACGTATTAAAAAGTTTATGTCCGTGAACAAAATCTTTGAATCGTAATCACGATCGTGTATCATACTTATGATTCAAATGAAAAAAGAAGCTATCACTATTTAATGTATTTCTCCCGTAAATTTACATTTAAAGATTTCTTTTATATGGCAAGAATGGCAACAGCGATTTTCAATAAATATCGATCGTGTTACTCACATGAGTTTTCCTGTTGAAAGTCAACCTCGAGTATTAAAAAACATATTTGACAGAATTATGTTTACCTGTTTAATATGAAATTTAATATCAGATACTCCAATAAGTTAGATAACACAAAAACGTGGGCAATCTCGTTGATTTGATTTGTTTGTTTCGTATTGTACTAGTGGATAGAGTGTCATTTATTTTTCACTCATACATGATAAACAAAATTCCAACATTGTTCCTAATAATCTTTTAAAATGGTAAGTACAAGTAGTACACTTAAAAATTTTTCCTGCATAGCGATAGTATATAAACGCGTGTAGAAAGCATTGCTTGGGTTTTCTAATTTTAACCTCTTTCTTACATACATCGATTTTTTTTCTCGCTACAATAATAGCTGTGCCCCACACATATATATATATATATATATATATACAGACATATACCTCCATGCACTTAAATATGATTGAATACGGTTATTTAATAAGATCTCAGTTGGTCCACATAGATGATGATCTGGTAAGTTTTCTACATGTAAATTTAGAGAAAAACTTACTAAGATCGAGAGTATTAGTAACTTGATTATAGAGAGAGGGTTTATTATAGGTTGCTTTGAACTAAATTAACTTATAGAGATTCTACTGTATTTTTAATTTAGAAAATGATTATTTGAAAATAAAATATACTAATCTTTTGTTCTTTCTGCTTTCGAAAAGTCACAGAGAATCCAACTTACACATGAACGATCGGCATTTGTAGTTTGGGGAACCCGTAAACAGATTATTGACTGGTTACATGATAATCGTCAAGCTATAATTGAATTTGTGTCGGATAATCAATACGGTTTATTTGGAGATGAAAACAGCAATATAACTTCAGAATATCTTCAACAAGAACACTTACTACACCTCGCATTAAAACCGCCAAATGGCAATCGACATTCGAATACCACTAACATATTCTTTGCTCTTTATAACGCTAAATCTGAACCGAAACGTGGTCTTTCACTATTTAAGCATGCACCGAGATTCCGTCTAGAAATTTGTGCGGAAATTAATAATAGACCAGGACAAAATTTAGAAGATCCAATAGATAGTTGGACATGCAAGAGTGGTATTGGAATTAGACATATAATGGATCGTTTGATAGATTCCTTTCCTGGAAGTGGTGAAACGCGAAGAGAATGCCTTGATTATGAATAACGATTAATTTTTTTATTTAATGATTATGTAAATTGTAGTCCTTTTTAATTTACTAGCACATATCGTGCTTTCCCAAGTATTTAAAAATATTTCTGTAATTATAACTCCTCACTCCTTTAAATAATTTTTTTAGTATAATAATTAAAAGTATTATGTAAAGTTCCCGTTAAGACGTTAATAATAATAAGCTTTATTAATTTGAATTACGATACATGAAGAGATTCTACCTATTTACTCTTGATCGCGGCGAATTATATTGAATCATTTTTACTTCATCTCTTCAGTCTTGTGCCCATTGGCCTTGTCCGATATTTCTTCTTGCTTGATGGTGACATATCAGGACTTTCGTTCGTGGCACAATGACTGAACGATTATCACCACGCGATTAGGAGATCATTATTACAATGATCATTTTGGAATGAGAAAAATAAAAATTATCTTGAAAAAAAATTTCAAAATAGACAATATACTTTGAATAAATAATGCATTACTGATATCACTAGTCCGTGACGGATCTTATGGATCCCGTGCTTTAAACTTTTGTTGGTTAAAAAACAATCAGTTTTTAAAATAACAAAGTTGCTTATTAAACGTTGTACGTGTGATTATCGTTATTTGTAACAAATAATTCTAATACATGTATGACGGTTTATAAATGCATGCTTATAAATAATTTGTGTGCTGTAAATCTTATACTTTTAAAAAATAGTCACATTAATTTTTGAATTTGTGTCCACATCCACAACCAATAAGAATGCGCAAATTTTAATCAGCCCAGCAGAAAGCGACAATTTCTCCGTCTTATCTCTAGCTGAAAACAAACTTTAATAGTTCATTCTTACACGTCAACCTCTCTATAACGATGCCATAAATTTCGTTGTCATAAATAATGTCGTTATAGAGAGGTGTATATAAAAATTATCAAAATGTCGTTATGACTTGTATTGATTTGTTATTATGTGATCAGAAACCGGGCATAGTTACAATATTCGCGGAAATGTCATTGTTTAACTTGCAATATTATGTGTTATACTTGTGAATTTAAATCAAAATCAGCTGTTGAATAATCAAATATTGATCAATAGATCATTTGATAGTTTTCATATTCGATTCCCAGTCATTTATAAATTCTATTGTGTGAATTGATTTGTATTAAAAAATTTAATGAAAAGTTTCATCAAATAATATTGAAATTTATTCTTCTAAGTAAAATTTAAATAAATTTACAGTGCTTCAAATTTCTAATAACTTAACATATTTTTAATTGAATTATTTCATTTATAATTAAAAAATTTTTGCAATAATTTTTAATATCAAGAGAAAATTATAATTTTTATTATGTTTATTAATAAAAGTGGACCTTTTGATTCCATAATTATGAGAATTACTATATATAAAGTATAAACTTTTATTATTCTAAAAAATATTTGAATAATTTTATTAGTAAATATAAACTTTCTATATTAAAATTTTTATTAATTTTTCAGATTCGATTTTTTATTTTATTTTTTGAATATTAAAAAATCAAACTTTTATTATTAATTTATTAATAAAAAATTATCTCTTTTATTATAATAAATTATATCTTTTGTTTTGAAAGTGTGCATTATAAATCTAAATAAATGATTTAGCTTATTAATAAAAAGTCTTATATTAGATTAATTAATATATATTCTTGTTTTAGTTAAAGTTTTTATATTCTTTACTTGAAAAGAAAGTAAAGATAATCAAGATTTATATTTTTAATAATAGTTTTAGTCTTAAACTTAATAAAATATTTTGTTACTTTATGATTAAACTCTTTTTAATTATTTATTTTATTTAAAGATTTATTATATTAATATTAAAAAGTCTTTAAAATCTCTTAATTTTTTTTAATATTATAAATAATTCAGTTTATATTCTAATTAATTTTTATAAACTAAATTTAATAGTAAAATCTATTTTAATAATTAGTATATAATAATAAAACTAAAATATTTTATTTAAATAATTATAATTTATTATTATAAATATAATAAATAATAAATATTTTAATTTTTAAATAAAAAATAATTTATTTTAAATATTAAATATTATAATATCTTATATGAAATTTAAGATTAGCTTTTATATTAATTCAAAACTATTATTTAAATATTTATATAATTAAATTATTAATAATTTTTAATTTAAATTATTCAAAATTATTCAAGAATCAATTCTAATAAAATTATAAATCTAAATTTAAACTATAATTTTATTTAAAACTATTTTAATAATTTTAATTCAAACTCAAATTAATTTAAAAAATAATTTAATTCAAGTTTAATTTAATTTTTTAAATTTATTTTAAATTAAGTTCAAGTTTAATTCAAATTTAAATCTGATAAAAATTTAATTAATTAAAAATATTAATTATAATATAATAATTTATATATATTATTTTATTAATTATTAAATTATAATTTTTATTTTTATAATAAATAAAATGTATATTTTATAATTTAATATATATTTTTCAAATATTTAAATTATTTTTTAAATATTTTAATTATAAAATTCTTTTTAATAAAATATTTAATAAATTCTAATATATAATAATAATTAAAAATAATATATTAAAAATTAATTTTATTAATAAAAATTAAAATTTTTTTCTATATTAAAATTTATAATTTATTAAGAGATAATTTTTGTTTTATATTAAAATAAAATTTATTAAATATAATAATATAAAAATTTTTACTAATTAAAAATAAAATCTAATTAATAAAATTTTTATTTTAACTTTAAATTAGAATAACTTTTTAAAAAAATATAAATTAAATTATAATTTATAATAATATTTTAAAGTTAATATAAAAATTATTTTTTAATAAAATTATGAATTTTAATATAAAAAAATTTTAATTTTTATTATATTTTATTAATAAATTTAGCTTTTAATATATTATATTTAATTATTATTATAATTTTAATAAATAATTTTTAAATAATTTAATATTATTATAAGTTATTTATTATTAATTTATAAGATAATAAAAATAATAAAAAAGTAATAATAAAAGAATTAATATAATATATAATTTGAAATAAATATTTAATTTTAAATAAAAATTTATAAAAAAATAATTTTTTAAATAATAAAAATATATATAATAATAATATAATATAATACTTTAATTTTTACTAATTATAATTAATAAAATATATATTTTATTATATATAAATATTTTTAATTTTATTAATAAATATTTTTATTTTTAATTTAAAAAATAATTAAATTTTCAGATTTTTATTTATAATAAAATTATTATAGCAAAATTAATAATACTATTATAGCAAAAATTAATAATACTATTATAATAAAACTAATATTATAATATTAATTAAAGTAATATTTAGATTATAGTAAAAGAAATATAAGTATCATAATAAAAGTATTATCTATATAATTTCTAAAAATATATAAAAGTAATATATTATTATCATAATAATATAAAATTTTTTAATTCTATAATCTTTCTTTGATTATGTAAAAATTTTATTTTCTCTTATTTTATTATTTATTATATAATTATTCTTATTTTTATATAATTACATATATTTTTTTTATTATATTTATTTCTTATTATTATATTTTTATTTTTAAAATACTATATCTTATTCTTTTTATTTGAAATTTATATTTTTAATTTACATATTATATATTTTTTATATACTTAATAAAATAATATATTTGAAAATCTTTTTTAATTTTTAGTAAAATGATAAAATATCTATATAAATATTGATATTTAAAGAATTAATATAAACATCTATATAAATACTCATATAAATATCTACCTAAATATCTATCTAAATATTTATATAAATATTTATATAATATTAATATTTTGAATATTATAATAGTAAATTATAGTTATTTATAATAATATATATTTAGATAGTATTAATTAGTAATATTATAATAATTTATATATTTGAAAATATATAAAAGAATCTGCTTTTCCAACTTGAAATAAATAATTTTGAATTAAATTATTTAGAAAATATAATTAAAAAGCTTATTATTATAATAATATTAATATTTTTAAAAGATTTCTTTTCTAATTATACTAATATTCTTTTTTTACTCAGTTTTATTTTTTTAATCATATAAAATTAATTTTGATTTGAATTATAATGTTATATTAATTTTTTTGATTTTTGTTATTATTTTGAAAATAAAAGATCTTTATTATAAATAAGTCATATTCTTTTATTTTATTTATTTTATTATTTTAAGAATAAAAAATCTTTATTATAAATAAGCTATATTTTTTTAATTATTTAATTTTTGTTTATCTTAATTTTATTTTCTTTAATTATAGTCTTCTTTGATTAATAATAGTTTTACTATTTAATTATTTTAAATCCTAAACTATATCAATTACTAGTAAATTTACTAATTAATTTTTATAATTTTCTTAATTTATTTTATTCTTTTATTATTTATTTGTCTCTTTTTAAAAATAATATCTGTAGATATTAATATAAATCTTAAAAACTTTGTCAGTATTAAAAATATAGTCTAATTTCTCTCTCTTTGTTTTTTAATTAATTTAGTCTCTCCTAATTCAATATTATTAAGATAAATTCAAGTGAAAATTCACTTATTAGATTTGCTGTAATATATTTTTGATGTCTTTTTTGTAGAGAAAGATCCTCTTTATATACTTTTTATTATATTTATACTTTTTTTGATTAGTTATTTCATTATTTAGTTTAGTTTTTATCTTTTCTTAATTATAATCTTCTTTAATTAATAGTAATTTTATTATTTAATTATTTTAAATTCTAAATTATATTAATTATTAGTAGCTTTACTAATTAATTTTTATAATTTTTTTGATTTATTTTATTCTTTATTATTTATTTACTTTTTTGAAAGATATTATTCATAGATATTGATAAAGATCTTAAAAATCTTTATTATTATTAAAAATATAATCTAATTTCTTTCTTATTATTTTTTA